ATGATCATTGGTTGCGGGGCAGCACTGGAACTGCTTCAGTGCCATAATCTCAAAAAGTTGGCCAAAATTATTTATAATATCAACACTTGTATGAACTCATTCAGGTGAGACATATTGACAATTATACAGTATAACTTAACACATTATTACCATATAATATTATAAATTAATTTATATAATATAATATATTATACTGTATTATAACTTATTGTAGTAATTATTGAAATCATGTTTCTTTAATAATGAGTAATTATTATTTACTACATAATATCTGAACTGTAAATGCAAAATACCTTTTTTCTTAATACAACATTTTATTAAAATCATGTCTACAAAACAAAATTCAAAAGTGTTATTAAATTAAATACTGTACACATGAACGTATAAAACCTTCACCAAACTTTTAAGCTATGATATTTGTAAAGCAAACAATAGTTTTAAAAAAGAAAATTTTAAATATTAACTTATAGTGTAATTTGTAAGAAAATAATGTTTAAGTTTAATAATTAAAAGTTTACTAATGAATTGCAATACAGATTATGCCGAACCATATGTGAGAAGCGGACCAAATGGTTGAGCCCTAAGTCTAAGAGACAGTTTGAAGCGGGCGTTGGTCTGGAGCGAGGGTTTCGTCACCTAATCGTCAGTTATATTCCGCCAAAAGCACTGAAAATAATCAATTTCTTGGGCTATCGGGGCGTAAGGGAGACGGCGTTTGTAGAGCTAAACCNGGTTTCGTCACCTAATCGTCAGTTATATTCCGCCAAAAGCACTGAAAATAATCAATTTCTTGGGCTATCGGGGCGTAAGGGAGACGGCGTTTGTAGAGCTAAACCGGACTGCATTTGAGTGCAATTGTGTGTACAGTATAATCGCTGAATTAGTGATCATTATTTACTGGCTTTACGTTGAAACGCACACTAGTTTTGGGCCTAAAAATACACAATTCTTGCGCCAATTAGTCGATAATAAACTGAAATCATTTCCTAACGTAAGCGTTGATAACGAATTGTCTCATAAATACAAATTGACTTTTAATATTGGATACTATTGTATGAAATGACAGAGCATTTTGTACAGAGTAGCCAACGCTAAGTTGGTTGAGTTGTCGGGCGATATACAGCTGGCCATCAATGAGTACGAGAAGATCATTGAGGATTACGACCAAATGTACCACAGGTTGGCTCACTTTGAACTCATGTTTTGTCACGCAGTCCGGTGTGAGTGGTATCACTCCGTCCGATACGCCGAACTACTCAACAAACACACCGTCCACTCGCCCGCTATCACCACATACTTGG